ATTTATTCAGGCACAACAAAGTTTTTTAAGTCTATCATTAGCTGTAGTAGTATGAAATAGAGAAAGTAAAATCCTCCACAGAGCAAAATAGCTTTTTTGAAATTTAACTTACTCTGTTTGAAAATTGCAAGCCAGCTCTTCTAAAATTCTCTGGAGAAGAGAGGTGGGTTTTTCATCCTAGAGTAGTCTTCTCTTCCTGGGAACATCAGCGTCCTACCACCAATTTCCTGATGGAATGCTATAGATCTGAAAATCTAGGCAGTTAACAAAAGATTGTGGAAAATTACTGACAGAAACCCTGCTCGATTTCTAGTAATCTACCATGTATGCGAGTTCTAGAACTGTTGGGATCAAAGCATCTTGACAAAATATTTTGCTTGTGTTGAATTTTCAGTTTTAAAATGAGTATTTTTTGTTTTAGCAGGAGACCTCAGGTTCTTTATGCACTGTACACGTTGCAATGTGTTCCCACAGAATTTATCACTTAGACAAAGGACAAGTGAAGAGAGTCAAAAAGGAAGGAGAAATTAAGAGCCACAGAGGGGTGATGTGGCTTGTACCTGGTCACACTGAGGTCAGTAGCAGAGTTAAGAGTTGGATTTTTTTGAATCATGATCTAAATCAGTCTGTCTTACTACAAAGGGGCCACAGAGGTCATTCAGTGTGACTGACCCATCAAAAACTTCACAGAAAAGAAATGCAAAACAAACCTTTCTTCTAGTTTCTCATATATCCTTGTTGACAGCAACAAGCATGTCAGCAACAACTAAAGTACACAAAATAGACTTACAGGATATTTTTTATGGTTAGTTTCGTAGAAAATGTGACAATGCCTTTAGTGTTGTAATTGGTGGAAGAAGTAACTGGAGATATGGGTCTACCAAAACTTTCAGGAGACAGTAATAACCTTCTGAAGACCCACAATGTGAAGTTCTCAACCAGGACACTGCAGCACACAACCAGATTTGGATGCTGTGGTCTTAGTGTTTTTATTTACACTAGTAAACGGAAGAGGGCTAGAACATATGTGATTTGTGCTATATGACTGTTAGCAGTTCTCTGGCATAATTTTGGTCACGGGCAATTAATACTCTCCCAGAAAACTTGAGCAGTGTTCATGGATTAACAGTCTGGGGACTATTCTCAATATGCAGTAATGGAGAGGGAGATAGTTTGGCTGAATAGGCATGAGTTATTTTCTGACACTTGCCCTGAGGTTCAGAGAGTGAGTTCTGATCCATTTTATGAGTTGCATCTATACCTTTAAATTAGGTATGTTTTGTGTGTCTTTGGTGGTTGGCTGAGTAAAATCATTCCCATCTTCCTTGCACCTCTCTTGCAGTCTGGTTCTATTCTGCCTTGATGCATATAGGTATAACCTGATTTTTCCAGGAGATAAACCTCTTACAGGGCTGGAAATAACAACCTGCAAAACTAAAGGACTTATAGAAAATAATTAGGAGAAAAGTAGTCGTCTTATCAATAATGTATAGCAGAGTAATCCACTAATAATACTATGTACTATGTCCTACTCTCTTCTCTAAGGATTCAGCAGCACTTGCTAATAGTAGTTGTGCCCTGTTCGAATACCTCATTTTAATCAGAGATTTTGGTAACTTCACATTCAGTGGATAAACAGTGGATAACTTTATATCTTATTTTGCACCTGTAGCCATTTGGAGAATATCTGTAAGAAAACTGAGGTTAAACTTATGTCAAAGCCAAAGTCTTACGCACTGGCTTGACATGTGCACAGAGATGCTACAGTTAGTGAAGATTTGAAGGCTCTTGTGCTCCTCGTCCTTTTTCCTGATGGTACCATCACCACATTTACAATGACAAAATGCAGGGGGTGTCTGCACTTTGGGAAACTTCCCTAAGTCTAGTATCTTTGTGCAAGCTGTTACTAAAAATTAAAGCCAAGAAACCAGATGTATGGACCAGATACACAAACAGATGCCATTCTGCCACTTGTGATGTTTGGCATCAGTATCCTCAGATGAAAGGGGGGTTGCAAAGCAAATTCTCTTTAATGAACTAATGCAGCCAAATTAGGTGTAACTCATTTCAGAGCTATGTACACACAGTGTTTTGTCCACATAGCTAATGATTTCTAGTAATGTTGCTAACTAATTAGTGATACTAACTTAGCAAACTTTGTTTGCAAATGCTGTATGTCTGTGTCCTTTTATGGATCTGTTTTTTTACTATAAAATGGAAAAATATGTTCTGAACTCCAATATAAAAATACTTAAGTAATGAGTCAAATTCTCATTAAAAATAGAGATTATATGATTATGAGTTTTGCAGCTAACTTTCTTGATATTTTGGAATGGAAAAACTAAGATGAACTTCTGATGAAAATTCACTTCCAGTTTTAACTCTGGCCAGGTAGCTGTTTTGGGGAGGGTTGGTTAGTTTGTTGGTTTGTTTTAAACTTCACGTTCAGTGTAAAGAGCCCTGCAGGTATTCCTTTATTCCTTTAGCCACTCTTTCCTGAATCTTTCAATACTAAATTTTTTAATTTTACTGTGATAGAGATCTCTAAATACTTTAGTCTGATAGCTGTTCAAAAGAACTTAAAGTACATGTATAGAAAAAAAGATATTTCATGTGTGCAAACTCTACTGCCTACTCATTACAGAATTTATTTTTCAATGAGTAAGGGCCCGGAAGAAGCTAATGTAAGTATTTTAGCAAGGGTTTGTATTTCTCTGATAAACAGCACTCCCCTTCTGTTTGTGATCACAGGATGAAAGCTCTCTAAGCTTGTATATGTACATTTTTACTGCTACATCATGTAGTGTGCTCTTAAGATTGAGATCTCATTCCCCAGGAAGCATTTCTGTCTAAGATTAATTGCCCTTTTAAAATCAGTGTTTGATGTATTCCTTTGGCTATATCCTGACTTGCTTTAACCCTCTTTGACCTGACCCCACTCACTATTACCGCCATGGCTGAAGCAGAAATCCTTCAGCTTGATGTATGCAGTACAGACTTGAGCCTGTGGTTTTTCACATCGATGGATTCAATTAGTTGAGTTTTTACTGATCAGCTTAGCAGAGGTCGAAGAATTTGTCAGACATGGAACAAAACTGTCCATAGTTTGGACATAATTAAATAGCTCATCTCCATTTTCACAGCAATTGTTTGCTTGTGAAGTTGTTTACTTTGTTAAATAACATAATAATATTCCTGGAAGTAGCATTTTTTAAAAGGAAAAACCCAGTTTATTTTTCTCTAGTTAAATGGGAGAAGGCACAAAACATGAAATAAGAGCAATTAAGCTTTCGATCTGTATACGTTGCTTATCACTCTTCTGCCAAATGTTTTTAAACTGTAATTATGTCCAAATGTCAACTTTTGAATTTGATTTATTAAACTGAGCAGATAAACTAACAATTAGCATTATGGCTTGAAAAAAGCAAATATGCTGCTCTCTTCTGTATTGACAGTGATTTTTCAGAAACAGTAATCCTTCTTTGCCTTGCTAGGAGTAGGTCATCATTTGGTTAGCTGAAAAGTTCTTTATAAGAGATGGACAGCTGTTAGAATCACAGAATATTTGCAGGCATGATGTGAATTATAGTAACTTGAAAATGAAATAAACTAGAGGTTGAAAGTTCAAGAATGCCATTAAAACCCTCAAAAGTGTATGAATGTGCATATGCTTAGGGAATGTATAGTATGATTGCATAGAGAATTTATTTAATTGATTGGCATAATAGTATTTTGAAAACAATGACATTATAAAAGTTCTCACAAGCTGTTAGCAGCAAGGTCTTTTAAAGTAAATTGATTTGCTTTAGGCCAAACTTCATAGACAAAAATATTTATCAAATGGGGTTTGTTTTTGTTTTGTTTTGTTTTCTAGAACAACATTGATCACATTTAGCTCCCTAGCTGTATACAGAGATAGCCCTAATTTCTGAAGGTCAGCTCTACACAGTTTAGAGAGAAGGGCAACCTCAAGTCTAATTAAGGGCATAGTGCATGAAAGGGTTAACTTATTTTAAGTCAAGATGCCTGCTGTTCAGAAAAGCTACAAAACTCCTAAAAGTGATTTATCTCTCCCTCAGCAATGGAAAACATATCATGGATGAGTTGGCCTCAGTTTGTCACACATTCAACTGTTTATCTTTTAATGCACACCCTGCCTGTTCCTCGTAGGTATAAATGTATTGTGTGCTTGCTTGTTACATGGGGCAGCAGGACGATTTGCACTGAACTTTGTCACTTTGTCCACATGTGCATGGCCAAACTTAACGCATTGCAGAAAATTGTTTTATAAACCTCAGTCGCTAACCCCAGTCTTTTCTAAATTAGCATAGGTTTATTGCCAGTTCAAGGCTGAGGCTAAGGCACCGATGCTAAGGAAGAAGGGTTATAAGAATATTTCCTGGGAGTTTAATCTTTGGGGTTTTTTTTATTCTGCTTGAAGCTAGATGTTTGATGGGAAGCATCTTGGGCTCAGTCTTGTAAGGTCTTCTAAAACCTTTTAAATACTATAATGTCAGATGTTTAAGAAAAGTATTTTAGTGTTCTGTCATCAAGCCCATTAAAAAACTTCTATGAAATATACAAGAATCAAAATGATAATAAAAAAGCAACAACAGCAATGTTTAGTTAAGTGAAGCTTTCATTTCCATCCTCTATCTGCTTTTCTATTGAGCTGCATGAACTCTTTTATGGACAGAAAAATTCCCTCGGTTGTCTTAGACAGCATTACTGTCAGTAACTGTTTTGGGGAACTGTTAAAAATAGTCTGCTCGAGCTTAGTCTGCTTAGCAGTGTTTGAGGCCAAATTCTCTTTCTCTAAAAACTTTTTCAATTGACTTTTTCAATAGAAAAAGTTTTCTAGTTCATTTACATGCTTTCTGGCTCCTATGAGATTAGAAGTGTAAGCCAAGTTCTCGTGAGCTGCTCCAAAGTGTAATAAACTTGGTAATAAACTTGCCTGTGGTGACTATTTTAATCCACTTTTTTTTGTTATGTTTCAGAAATGTGGCTATCTAACCTGAGGATAGACTTGAGGTAGAAGATGACAGGAAATGACAAGAGAGGAAAAATTGGATGGAGAAGAAAATTGTGAATCAAATATTTGATTCCATCTCAGTATTTAATTATATTTGATGTCAATGATAATATTGCATATTCATCTACTTCCATTTTGGGGATAGAGAAGGCTAGGCATTTGCTGGAATATAATCCACAGGATATAATCATACTAAGAACTTTATAATCATGACAAAGAAGCTTTTTTCCTCTCCTTTAAGTTACAGGTTGAGATGTTTATGCCACAAGAAGGTCATGTAGAGATCAGCCAACTGGCCTGTGTCAAAACCATGCAAAGAAATAGAGCAGTAATTAAAGCTAAATCAGTGAATATGGACTTAATGGCAGTCCATATTCGTATCTTGCCTGGAGTTGGGCTTTTGTAGTCCAGTACTCTGCAAAAACAGAGTTCACTGAGGTTGATACAGGTCTAGTTCTATCGCAGCGTTTTGGACAAGAAGCAGTAGTTCTTGTGAGGGGCTCTGGTACAATGACATCAAGATGCTGAAAGGGTTATATTGAGATATGTAATATGAATGACAAAACACTCCAGGATGGAGAGACTGATATGTCTAACTGTTTATTTTGGAGAAGAATTTAAAAAAAAAAGAAGAAATTATTTGGAAAAGATAGCTTAAGCACTTTTGCTCTGTTTTCTGTGAGTTGTTCAGTAAACGTATTAAAAATTAACATTCCTTTTAAAAGAAATTTTTAAACAAAATATAAAGTTGTAGATTTTATTTGTCATTAGTTGTCTTTGAGGACGGGAACTTGCCATAGTTGACAGCTCTCTGGGATATCTGAGCAAATATCAAGAATATCCTGAGCTGAAAACATCCATTTAGGAAAACGGTGACCTTCAGCTTGAGCAATTGAACTCACATTACTACCAATGATTAAAATAAGTGATATTGTCTTGTTGCTGATAGTTAACCAGGTCTGTGTGATTGTTTATTTGTATTGATGTTGGGCAGTTAGATTATATCCAGGAACTGAAATTCTTACTCTCCAAACTTTGTCTTGTGTTTGGAGCAATGTTTATTCCAGATACAGAATCATTTTAAGAAGGAGACTTGTTCTGAACAATGCGTTGACCATATATTTCTGTGTTTGAGTTCTTCACCTGAAATCAGCTTCAGTGGCTTTTACCAGGGCTGTTGAGATATATAGGCAGGAAGGAAAAGTCAGTCCTGTGCTTTTATGTCACATATTCTAAAATTTTTGAGGTCAGAGGAACCTTTTGTTGTGGCTAGGCTATTTTAGAGTTGGCTTTGCAGAATTTTTTGTGTGTTCTTGCTCTTGGTCAGAGGATACTGAACAGTGTATCTGCTGATTCGATCCAAGGTATCATCTCTATGTCTCTTTAAACTGATAGTTACTCAAAATTAGAGGAGAGGAAGGAAATAAGGATTTTGGTAGTTTATGTGTGGTCAAAGTGAGGTTAAAAGTATGTTAAGATTGCTAAGGAAAATGAGTCACTTCTAGCAATAAAGCCTACTACCGCGACAAGCAGGGTCATTTTTTCATAGGATGGAATTCACAAAAAAGTAAGGAAAGCCTGGGGGCTACTGCGAAGCTTCTGAAAACTCCTACTGAGATTTTATTCCAATTTAAAGAATTTTAACTAAAAGGACCGCTGCTCAGTAGAATCTGTAGTGAACTTAGACCTTGAAGCTATCACTTCTTAAATGTGAAATATATCAGTAAAGAGAGTGTAAGTGTTCTCTGTCTGAAGTACTTGTACTGAGTTCATTCAAAGAGCAGGTGATCATTTTGCTATGAAATTTAACCAAAATCAATTTTTTTATGCAGTTCCCATGCGTAGATATTGAGCTCCTCTTAGTACTCAGCTAAATGCGTAAGATTTGTTCAGAATACAGGTTTGTTTTGCTATTTGAGACCTTTATATTGAGGTTGTCATTACTGTGGAGTCAGAACATCTCACCATATTTCTGTACTTTGGTCACTTTTACACCTACACATGCCAGAAACAGATTGGAGATATTCCAGTTAGATTAGAGTTTATGAATGAAAAAGACTGAAATAATAGGTTTTAACTTCTAATATTTTTTAAAGATACTGAAGAAAAGCAAAGCTTTAGTACTTGATTTATAGATAGTTTAATTCATTCAAGCTTGCTTACTAAGGAAAGAAATATTTTGCCATAAATTAAAAAATATGTGGTATCTGGCTATAGTAAATATTACAAAAGTGATGTGGAAATGTTCACAAATACCCCTTAGCCTGGGGGGGGGGGTTGTATTTTATGAGCACATGAGATTTTTTTGTAGCACACACACAATCAAAATAATCATGAAGCTTGTTTTGTTGTAAATGGTACCCACTCATTGTCAATTTTAATATTGGACATTAAAGCTGCTTTCAGTTTTGGATAGGTTATTATTAAAGAGGTGGATGGTATTCATCAGTTTTAGGGCTAGCAGGTGAAAGATCCCTGTATCAAATGGAACCATTGCTGACAATACTGAGGTTTGAGGGTTTTTAGAGATGCTACGTACTTAAAATTGCAAAAAATGAAGTATGTTTATCAAGTGCTTGTTTGTTTCTCTTCTACTACCAGTGCAGAAGTCACTGGAGGAGTACTTCTTTAGACTATGAGGCTTGTTTGGGACTGTCTCCTCTCTGTATGTCCTAGAATATCCAACCTGAGGTGCCCACAGAGGGGAAAGATAACTCCAGCTGCTGTTCAGTGCTTTCTTACCACCTGTGGTTACAGGTTAGAACACAGTCTTTGAATTTACTTGCTAATATAGAGTAGTCTTTTGTAAAGAATTGCACATATGTATGTATGTGTCACATATGTGATCCTCTGTGCTAGACCAGAAGCCTTGCTTCCAAGAAGAAGATTTTCACTTTTGCTTGCCAGAGACTTATCTCTGCCCAGCTTTGGCTTTAGGCTTTTAAAATTGGGTCAGCCATATCTGTCAGTAACAGACTTAGTGGTTGCACATTACGTTACTCACACGAAGCACATTACTGAAAGCTATGTGTCTGTAAGTAATTTCCTAGGAGATCCTAAAGAGCTAGATTAAAATCTTCCCAGTGAAGATGTTGGTGTGTGTCTTCAGATTCAGAGATGTCCCAGGCACCAGGTGCTGAGCATATGCTGTCAAGGAGTGCTCTGGCGTTTCAAGATACTTATGCCTAAGGGCCTGTTCTGCCTGGTAATCTGAGGAGCAGGAGAAGTGGGAAGGAAAGCAGCCACACCACAGGCACAAAAGGAGAACTCTGCTTCTTATAATGCTGACCCAAAAGGAGTTTTCCTACAGTATCATATAGCTATTGCTATATGTAATACGTTTAGTATCATCTAATCCAGAAAATACGATGTATTCTGAAGATAAGCAAGCAAGTATCTCTGGCTCACTTCACAACTGAGAAGGCTGGAATCTAGTTATGTTACATTATTAAAATGCTGCTACTGCATGACGCTTGGTTGTATTTACTCCTTACACATTTAAGTATCCTTGTCCAATATAGTTCCATGGCCTTGTATCATGCAAGAAGTTTGCTTGTAGTTTGAAGCACAGAGTTCTACTTCCCTATTTAGGGCTGTAAAGTGGTGCTGCCCCTGACTAGGGGTAGGTTCTGGGACTTGCTATGCAGAACACTTGCATACAGAGGATTCCAACTGAGTACTCCAGGGACACTTTTGCTAAATCCTGAATATCTTGTATTGTCTATCAGTGAAGGGATTTAAACCTGCTAGATTGTCCTGACAGGTGATTGCTTGAGGCCACAAATTGGAAGGGAGGTATTTCATCCCACTAAAGAATTTTGTGGTACGTCACAGATGTAGTCTCTCTGGAGGAGCTGATCTTGTGTAAGTGAAAGGGAGAATGTCGCTGCGGCATTGGTGAGCATTGAGGTGCTAATCTGTGTGAAAAACTGCTGAAATAAGTACCTTTGGCAGAAGTAGTACCTTCTCACTATGCTGCTCTTAGGCACTTGACTGTGTCTCAGAACTAAACTAACCTTTTCCCTCTATCTTCAATTCTTTCTTTTTAAATAATAAGTTAATTAATAATAAGGTGTAAAAAATGTATTTAAAATGCAGTAATCTGAATTGATGCTGAATAAGCTCATTTTCCTAATATTGAGTGGTGTACTTTGCAAACCATAACTTATATAGCTAAAGGAAATGGAAAAACTTACTGTGTGATACCGTGACATTGCACATCTTCCCACCTTCTCTGAAGACTACAGATTTTCTTTTTTGTTCTTTTGCCGTATCTCACTGATCCCTGAACATTGAGGGTTTTTTAAGGAAGCTGAGGATTCACAACAGCAAATATTGTAGTAGTTAGGGCATTCCCCTTAAAGAAGGGAGAGTGGACTCAAGCTGCCTCAGGTTGAGGAGGGCTTTGAGCCACTGCCTCAAGGACTCTGTTGAGATGCAACAGGCCACTCTCTCTTGTTTCCTTCCAGCGGATGCCTATCTGCAAAAGAGACACCTTTGCCAGTACTTTCTTCGGGTTTGCCAGTACTTTCTTCGGCTGGATCAGGGTGGTTTCCTGATCAGGAACACTGAGACACCTTTTAGATGACTGAGAAGCAGATCTCTTCTTAAGCCCTTTGCTTTAGAGGTGCCTGTTTCTCTCCATTTTCTGTACAGAGCTGGAAAACTCTTCTGACTTTACATGGTATGATCCATTAGCCTGGGTCAGGTACCTACTTAAAGTGTTGCAGCCTTGACTTAATGTCTAAATTAAGTGGTCTGAAATGTCTCAAAAATGTCTTAGTACATAATGTGTAAGCATAATTACCTGCGTTCTGGAGATGGAATATTTTTAGATTTTACCAAAAAGCTTTGCCATCTGTGCTTCTCGCTTGCCACTAGTGACTTTTGGGGGCTATACTAGCTTCTTTTATTGATGGAGTTCCACAAGGAAAGAAAAGAAAAATCATTTAATCCCGGGACAACAACTCTGATATTATGACTTAATTGATTTTCAGCCTTTTTTTTTTTTTTGCAAATGCCAAAACAGTGTTTGTTATTTGTCCATCACTTCAGTAATGGAGTGATTCTGCTTTTAAATAAATAGTCATTATGTACATAAGCAATAAAAACTTCTTACAAAACATATATTGCTATGCTTTTATTTTTCTTGTATTTCCACTTCATCTTATTTCTGATATTAATTTGCAACAAAGTAAAAGAAACCATCTTAGGTCATGTGATACGTAACACGTAACTCAATTCTGACATGATTCTAAGAGGAAATAAAAAGTCAATGATATTACTGGAAAACTTGAACGTATTAGTTTTGAGGAAATCATGGGGATTTTAAACTACATTACTGAATATTGTAAAATGGGTATTGACAGCAATGATATCATCAGGTCTGGACCCTGTGTACTATGATGAGCAGAGCTATTTGCCCTAATTTTCATGGGCCTGGTCCAATGACACAGAGTGGCATTAATCTTTGTAATCAGGTCATTTAAATCTTGCACCACTCATTTAAATACATGTTGTGTTTAGCAACTTGTACGCTTTGTAGATGCATTTTGTCAGTTTAAAAAGACTTTTTGTTATCAAAAAGAATAGAATGTGGGGTGGGGAAGAAGAGGACAGCAGTTGGTGTGTGTTTTGTAATTCTATTATATCTGTAAAATGGGTGGATGAAGCTTTCATGATAGCTAGCAAATCATCCAGAACCCAGATGACAGTGGAAATGGATAAGAATTAGACAGCTGTTGAGAAAACAAGCATACTTATCAGTAACATTATTAGTGTATTTGCTGTTGACAACTTTTTGCTACAAAAAGTCTAGAAGATACCTGTAGGAGAGAGACTCTGTATATGATTTAAAATCGGGTGTGTGACTGAAAGCATGAACGTTGAGGAAAGTTTGGGTAAATGTGACTTAAGTGAGAGTTTATGGCCCCTAGTAACAAAAGGAGGGAAGAATGTTAAAGTAAAAACAATGGATTTTTTGAAAGAAGGCTATAGTAAATACAGAATTGGTAGATAAGATCTTTTTAGTCAAGCCTCAAGGGGAAAAGGAATTAAGGAGAAGTGATGCTTTGTCAGAGATAATACTACAGCACAAACAATGCTAATGCAGAGATTTAGACTTTAATTAAACTGTAAATTCTTCATTGACCTCTGAGACTTTCTCAGTTTGCTGAGGAACAGAATAAAAGACTTGTATGAGAAAGGGATAAAGCTGGGTAAGGAGCGGGGAATGGGACACCCCGATTAACTGTATTTCATTTCTAAGCAAGAGGCATCGAGTACGCGCACATAAAAAAACACTGTGTCATGCGGTAAAAGAAGAGCCAAAGAAAATATTTATCACATATAAGCCTTTCCTCCAATGACAAGAAGGTGATACTGAGGTTCTAAAGCATTTAATCTATTTTTTACAAGTTCTTGCTAAGAAGAGTCAGATATTCATAGGGTGCTAGCACAGTGCTAATGCCAAACCAGCGTTTTGTCATCTATTTTTATGAAAATTAGTTTTTTCTGAAAATTAAATAATACTATAAAATGTAAAAAAAAAAAGGTCACTAACTCTGACCAATTTAAGGAATACCATAGGTAGGTTTTCATTTGGAAGTGTTAAGTACATATATTTGGAGGTTACTTAGATATTAGGAATATTTAGGTATTCCCCAACTTCTGAATGGGAAAACTGGGTTTCCAAGATCTTTTCTTTTGGAGTTATACTCTTGACAATCTGAGTGGTAGTGTTTCAGCCCAATAAATACCTGTTTTGGCTGGAAATACCAGAAGTTTGTTTTTAAATTACATGCTTCATTCTTCAGATTTGTCTGCAACAAAACCAGAAACCAGCAATTGTTTATGCTTAATTTAGTGCGATAATGCATATGTTATGCCATTCAGGGAATCAAGAATTTGTACAGAATATACTGTATGTAAGTAACAAGTAACAGAAGTATAATGCTTCAATTTAAGCAAACTTAACTGTCTGCTCTCACAGGAAGAATTATTACTAGCATGAAGTCAACTGCATGTTTAAGGATGATTCTTCCCAGTGTAATTTAGTGCACTGGCATAGGTACCTGATTATACTACAAACTTCTTCAGACAGCTGTCAAATCATTTTGATTACCAAACAAATAGGATTTTGTCTAGTTATAAAATAGAAATTATGCTGCAACTGGGGTGGTTGAATGAAAGAGCAGTAATGGTACCTTCACTTCTAGATTCTGCTCTCTTCCATGCAGCTCTGGGGGAGGATGGTGATTTGTTCTGTAATATAGACAGTGAAGGGGGGCATAAAATGCCAATTACAAAAGGCAGTGATATTTTTGACCACCGAATGTAGATTTCACTGTGGTAGGTCCATGTGAGAATGCCGTAGTATAGTATAAAATCAGTAAAAGGTCACTGCCTACTTTCTCCCCCTCAACCATTATTTGGAGCATATTTCGTATGCTCTTCTCATCTCAAGATTCTGAAATAAATTTTCATTTTTTGTTGTTTTAGTTCACGTCATGACAGTTATGTCAGTTGCTTTAGCTGGTTCCCATAATTTGAATCAAAGGATCAAAGTACTTGCATCCTCCGGGACAAGTATAAATAAAAAGAATTGAAATATTCTTAGAAAATATTCTTGTCATACTGGGAATCATTTGCTAATTTAGCTTTTCCAAGAGATGAAACTAAGTGAGAAAGAGCTGGTACCATTTCAGCCCTTGGAGTAACTTTGAAATTTTGCTAGTGATCTACATAAATTATTCTTAGCAAAACAAAATTACTTCAGGAATATTACAGGTATTATATTCTTATGCCTTACAGCCAGGTGAGGTGGATATGCCTTAACTGGATTGGCACCAATCTGTGATCACTGTAGGGAAAGAAAAAAAACAACCTTACAACTAGTAAGGAAGAATGGCATTTTCATTAAGTTTCATTTTAAACCAGTTTTTTCTTGGAATTAATTTTAACTCAAAGTTTCTGGTTTAGATGATAGAAATCTCAGCTTTCTCCACATTGATAGTTCCTACTTTTTGTTCTGTTAAATGTTAAATTCTGTTAACACCAGTTAAATTTACCATAAATGAAGTTTGAGTAAATGTTTTAATCTTTCTCTGAACTTTGAGTGATATACTAGTAGTTTCTCTTTTTTTTTTTTTTTAATTAGATGGAGAGCAGAAGACTCAAGTGATGATTCATGGAATTGAGCCAATGCTGGAAACACCCATTCAATGGCTAAGCGAACATATGAGCTATCCAGATAATTTTCTCCACATTAGTATCATTCCCCGACCTACTGATTGAAACTCAGCTATATTCGTATAAGGATCGTTCTCAAGCTGGAATTAAAAGGGCATGTCAACTTCTTGCTTCTGTTAGTCTTGACAGAGGCAGCCTGACCAGAAAAAAAGAAACCAACAAAAAGCCGAAACAAAACAAGAAGTCCTCACTGCTGTAAGCCAAACAGGAAGAGAGATCCTGTCATCAGATAAGGGCAATTGGGCTGATCTTATTTTGCATCACTGCTGCGTTTGTTCACTGCTATAATTAAATCAGTTGCGATATGAAAGAATTTACAGGACTTCTGCAAGTCTGCTGTTTTCTTGTAAAATATAATGAAGCTGAAAACTGTCAACCGAAAAGCAAATGGAAATATGTCACTTGATTGTATTTCTGATTAACAAATAAACAGGGCTGTTTCGTAAAGTGGTAGTGTTTCAGCTTTGAGGGTGGAAACACTGGTTCGATTTTCTAGAAAGTTAGACAGTGAGAGATTCGGTTACCAGTAGCTTTTTGTAAAAGATCAAATTACTGTAAATCCATCTTTCCTTAATGAGAAGTTCATGTTTACAGTATATATATTGGTATGCAAATGATCTTTTAACTTTGATAACAAGCAGTGAGAGATTTTAAAGTAAGCCCATGAGCATGTTTTGTCAGTTAAAAACATGCGCAACTTAATAATTTACAAATACTTTTGATTTGTATGCTGTCACTGAATACTCTAGTGTGTTTATTATTCAAACCGGTTTTCATGAACTAGCAATGATGTAGGATAATCTGTCTCAGGATCCGTCATGGCGTTTCTTTGAGTTCATCTATTTTTTTTTCCTCCAAGAATATTTTATTAATTTACTTTAAAAAGTTTTTTTTAAAAAAAAAAAAAAAAAGAAAACTGAATGGATGTTGCAAACAGGATTGTATCCTGCTGTTTATTTCCATAGACTAGGAAACAGTTAAATCATAGAATGATGAACAGATTTCTTTTTAATGATTTTGAATTTTGGAAAGCTGAGACTTTTCCAAGCTAATACTTCCTCACATCTGTGGTCCCTGAGCAATCAGTCCGAAATGTGGAAGCTTCTAATCTCATTGCACAGATTTTTCCTTAGTTTAGCAGATGTATTTTTAGGTTATTGGATCATTTTGGTTTCTAAATGTTTGTTACCATTGCAGATGCTACTAGAACTCTACCAATTTTTTTGTTACAGTGAATTCATCAAACTGTGCTCTATTGCTTTGTCTGCAGTTTGTGGCTGTTTGTGGCACAAAACAATGTTTATAGTAGACATATTATCAAATATGTCAAATATTACCAAATATAAAGAAAGCATGACATTCTTCTTTCAAAAATAGTGGCTGTTGAAGTTCCTCCTCACAGTCCTGGCTTGTAAATGTCCTGGTAACTCCCAGTGCTGTTCCCATTCGTTTCCATGCTCCCTTTATGGTAGGATACTTACCTGTATCTGAAAAAGGAAGAAAATGAAAAATCAATCAAATGAATAACAACCTCTTTATGAAGCAAGAGGGGAAGGATCTCCATGGGTGAGGATAGAGTTGAAGCTAAGAAGAGCCCTAAGGGCAGAAAAAGTCAGTAGACAGGTTAGATAGTGTTTTAAATGTTAACAAGGAAATAGCTTGAAGGGAGTGGAATAGGTCCTAATGAAACAAACCTATGCTATATTCTGCAGGACATGAAGAATTTTTAAAATAAAACAAACCATGCTGATCTCTGTTTATGCAGAATTGAAATATAATATTCTTACAGAGGGATGATTTGGTTGAGTTATTCTAATTTCCAGTTCTGTTTGGAATTTTTGTTATGTTGTTGAATTGGCATTTTTAAACTTCCTTAGGCAGACATATCTAAATATTTTGGGCAATTTCAAAGTCCTGCCAGTCGATAAAGCAACTATTTTGTAGAGTCTTCATATTTAACAAAAGTGTCTTTTGTAGGCATAATTTTTCCATTAATCAGGATAAGAGGCAATACATTTAAAAAACTGTAGAGATTATGTTTCCTTTGTTTTAAGGTAAACTGGAGGGAGTCACTGGCTATTTTAATATGTTCTACACCAGCACTTTAAGTATACAACTCTTCTCGTGGCCCATATTTGCCAGTAAATCCAACTTTAAGGCCTAGCATGGAACAAAAAAAATATTGGCTTTAAAACATATTCTTTCCTCTTACTTTAACTATTTAAACTTTATTAAAAAATAAAACAAAGTTTGAGTCTGTCTTTATTTCCAACTAAATAAAGATCTTTCTCATGGAGTGACAAGAATATTTAATAATACTTAATAAGTAGAAACTTCTTAAAGAGCTGGTTGGGTGAGGTATCTAAACAAAAGCACGTCATCACAAAAATGAAGTGGCATCTTTGCTTTACCTGAGTTAAATCACATTTTTGTAGTTTCTTTTACTTAGTGTGCCAATAACAATAAAAGGTGTGTGTACTTCACTTTGAAATTCTGTAACTTCTGGGAAAAGATCTGGTCTGAACTGGTCAGAATCTAAAATAGTGCTCACTAAATTAATTTCACTAATAAGGAAAAGTGCCAAATACATCCATGCACACTCCTCAATATTTAGAATTTAAGTGTAACTGGTGAGCAAGTTAAATCATAGTGTAAAATGCACCAAAATACAGAGCTTGTTGCCGTCTTCATTGTATTTCATGTTTGGCAGTGGCTACTTTTGATTTTTGAATGTTCAGTGAAGAAAGAGTGAATTTTCTAATTATTTTTTTGATACCACTGGTTGTCAGTCAGCATACATGGTGATACCTTTTCTTCAAGTGGTTACTTAGTTTTAGATTAATTTCCATTAATTTTTGTGTGGGGCTGGGGGAGAAGAGTGGAATGTAGTGAAGGAGCATCCTCAATAAAACAAATTTGTACTGGTAAAAAGTCAGATAACATTACTACTACTAGGAAGAATGTGAACATGACATCTGATGGCCTAGTAACCCTGAAAAATGGAGAATAGGAAGACTGTTGAAATTAATTTAAAGAGGAGCTTAGAAAGATTTCTGCTGGGAAATGAGTAGAGCTTGTGCAATGGTGCGTTATTCTGCTAGAACACTTGTAATCCTGGGTTCCCATTAGGTACAGAAAATTCAGAAAAGGAGGGGGCGAGGGGTTGTTTGTCTGCAGGGACAGTAGTTCTCACGTGGAATTTTGAGGGGGAGGGGTCTGAACATCCAGGGAAAGGAGAGATTCGAGCTGGTGTAGGGACTGTGCTGCTTTAGTGGTAGAAATGCCGGATATGTGTATTGCTGTGAACCAGAACTCTTGCAGGAATGTGAAGAAATATTAAATCTCAGGACAGATCAAGCACAGGAACATGCAGTATGAACTACCATTAAACTGTTGAGCTATTTCAAACCTGGTTACTTCTCCACTAAAAGTTTTGGGAGATGTGGAGCAGGTCAAGACAAAGGTTAAGTTATAAAAAGCGTAAGAGTTGTTTGCCTAAAATTGCAGTCGTTGGAATCAGTGACTGGGAAAGTCGTTTCAGTTCTGTATTCCTTTATGTTTTGCTCTGACAGCCAGATACCTATCAGCTGATGAAGACTTGATCATCACTTCCAGTATTATTTATATCCTGCATAATAATTACGACTTTTTTTTTAATTACATTGTATGATGAATGAAGTCTGAGTGACAGCCTTGTGTTTGTGGTACTGAAAATAGCTGGAGTTTTTTCAGTTTTGATATTTAGAAAAGTCTGCATCCTGGCTGTACAAGTGTATTAGCACACTCTTAGAAAATTACTAGGGCTGAAAAAATGATGACTGACTTGAGAGAATGCTTTAAGCAAGTTTCATAGCTTGCCAGTGATAATTTATCAAATTGAGGGACTGGACAAGAAAAGGATAGGTTAATCCCTTTCATGGATACTTTCCAAAATTAACATTTTTATGTGTAGTGATTTTAAACTCTCTGAAGAACCTAGATTTTAGTTTGCTTGCAAATTAAGCAGTAATTTACAGAATTTATTCATATGCTACCATATGTAGATATTAAAACTGATTACATACTTTATTAGTCTAATATTAATATTGATGATTATCAAAGTGTGTCAGGAAGAGAACCGTGGTAGTAATCATGAGGGCTCCTGTAGGTGGCATGGTTCTGGTGCTGCAGTTGATGAAATGTAAAGATTGAGTGCATCTCTGGCAAGTACTACCACTTTTTCCAACTTCAGCCTTCCAGCAAAACCGAATGTCTTTACTGAGAAAATAACGTTATTTTCCTGACATAGTGAAAGTGTATTTCAGCAGAAAAAATATTTTCCATTCAACATTTGTGGCTGTATCAGAATAATAAGGCTTTTGTAAAGTGATTCCAGCCATTGATTTTAGCAGTCGCTGTTTATTTGGACAGGAAGGAGATTCCTGAAGTGATTTTTTTTTCTCTCCTTAGAATGAGAAAGGTTATGCACAGAGGTTCTTAGAATGTCACCACATGTAGAATGGGTTCTGAATTAAAGCAGGTAGGTATCTGTTCTGTGTTAAAACTTCTGATTTTGAGACAGGGCTTGGTGACATTTCAAAATGTCACACTTAACCTGAGTAATATCTCTTGAGAGAGATGTTAAGTTTCAAATGCTCAGAAACTAGATTTCAGATTTCTGTACTTCCAAGTTACACTATCAAATTAGCTGGTGGAAGATGATTTAGAGTGAGAGAGATATTTTCTTTCCTTCCCTTGCCTTTCATGTCTCTACGATTCAAGTAATTAAATTCTTTTAAGTGTGAAATGAAACACCAGTTTTTCTAAACAATAAATTGAAGAACACAAAGGAATACAAAACAGCTATGCAAACAGCTACATGAAGAAGAGTTTGGTGTATGTCAAGTTTTTATACGTATAACTAGCATTATATGGAGTTTAAAGGTGTGGATTTCATAGTGTTTATATGTATAAAAACCACTTAAGGTAGAAAGAGAGGCAGTCAAACACTGTGTTAGGATTGGAGGATCTCGACTGCACTTGAAACTGCCAAAATGTGTCTCATTTTAAAATAGCACTTTCCACTGAAGATGTTTAAAGTCTTAATACTTGCATCATTTCACTAATCTAGGTCAACAGATAAAATGAATATGTTGTGGAAACAAATCTGTGGTCTAGTTACTGATACACATTACATTCTCAGCACTTGCAGTAATTGTGAGTATAACATGGTGAAAAGGGTGAAGCCAGTGTGTGGAGTTTGTCTGCATCTGCCAGAATTTGGAGGATCATTTGCTAGACTTTTGTCAAGTGTGTTTTGCAAGTTCACATGCACATCTTAAAAACCTCTAGAAGTTAGGTTCTCTTTCAAAGCAAATTGGGCTTTAGTGGGGCAGGGCGGGGGCTGGAAATCAGTAGAGTTGCTCATTAAACCTGTCCCTTCAGTCACTGCCTTACAGTGAAAGGCATGTGGAGAGAGTCACGAGAGAAGGCTGGTTATGTCTTATTTTGCAAATAAGACATACGTATATAATTCCCCCTTGTCTATATTGTTGCTTAGTGTCCCAACTAACATAAAACCCAGGCACTTTGTAATTCTTTCAGCTAGACAGGGACACTCAAGTATTTTTACTACTACAGAATTAAAGATCGGAATGGAAACGATCTAGCTGGAACTTGTACCTTACATGCTTTTATGGCTATAATTAAAATAATCTGCACTTCAGAGGTTTGATTTCCATCAGTCATATGTATGCACGCCCTCACTGTAGTTTTTCCACACTTCAAAATTAGCAAAATAGGCTGGTCTTCCTTCATTTTAAAGTTTATCCAAATCTGTACAAGGAAAACATTATCAGGAGATCAGGCTGTGGGGGTGACCCTGAAGTGCTGGCATGACCCTGGAAGTCATACGTCTTTTTCACTATTTCCGTGGCAACCATTTTATCATAAGAATCCTGGCCCCTACTAGCAGGTTCTTTAATTTGCAGCTTCTCTTAAGCTGATTCTTGACCTCAGCTGACTAGCACTGAGGCTGTGCCTGCCCCTTGCTCCACAGCTCCCTTGCAGGATTGCTATCGGTCACTGTGCCCTGCATGGGACTAAAACCCCTGTGTCTGGAGCCCTCCCTGGCACTGCTTGCACAGCTCCTCCTTTACCACTGGAGGTATGAGTTCATTTCTGCTGGTGGTTACCACGAACTGGGTGGCCCTGTAGGAAAACGGTGAGAGAAGGGTGCAGAGGAGGAGAGAGGGAAATGAGAGGAATTAAAAAACAGTGAAGGTGGGGCTTGAGAGAAAATACTTTGTGGGGAGTGAAATGACAGAGCCAGATTCTTGATCTCAACCAGGTTTCTCATTCAGTCATCATCTTACAGCTCCCACCACGCGCTTTCCTCTCCATCCTCTCATGAATACAGTGCAATGGCCTTCACCTGCAGAGCGAAGTGTCTGGCACCTCTGGTGTCACCACCTGCTACAGCTGCTCCTCCTTGGAGCAAGCAGTGCACTGCGAGGGTGTATTGAACTTTGATGTTTCAGCACATTGCTGAAGGTGGCCTTTATTTACAAGAATTGTTTCAGAGGTTTCTCCTCTGCAGCAGGTCCTGGGCCTCCTTCAGCTGTGAGGAGTCGGAACTGGGAGGTCCCAGTGCACAAAATGGTGACCCAGCTCGCACAGCACTGTGGGTTACTGTTCTAATACACTGTGTTCTGGGAAACTGAATCATTGCCATTAGTTTTTTATTCAGGGGCTGGCTGGCTGGCTGGATGGCTGGCTGGATGGATGGATGGATGGTGGAGTTGCTCAAGGACCTTTGTGTACAAAAATCAGTTTCATGGCTCTGAAGTTTTACTTTGTGCAGTTCCGAATATTTCATACTGAACAGCAGAATACATTTTCAACATGTGTAATAAATACCAAAAACCAGTTTTGGTCACAAGCCTTTTCTGTTTCATTTTCCAGTCAGAATAAAATTGCATTATATGGGGTTCAGTTGTACAACGATGTCAATATCCATAACAGGGCTATATAGGCAGAATAAAGAGGACGCGTCATTTTTAATCATTAGCATTTCTCCTGTACATCTCAACACCTTTCAATATGAAGACACACAAGGACTTCTGCCTTTCTGCTGAGGCGTGGTTTTGCTGAACCACACAGGCAATTTCTCTGCCAATTTAGGGGGTCTGCTCCCCTACAGAAGCTATCCAGTTTATTGTATATAAATTTATACTTGATGGCTGTTGAGGAAATAACTGGAAGAATAGCCATAATGGCAATTAAAAAATAAAAAAAAAAGCTTAATTTATTGCTCGAGTGTCCTTCACTAAGAAATCATAATGTGAGTTTTCAGTGAAATTAGTGATGTCCTGCTTCTGAGTGTGCACTCAATTATTTCAGTGGCAAGAGGGCACAGTCCTCATGGGTCAGCTTCCAAATGCCTTGAAATATATTGTATATTATTAGTTAATATGTCAATAACAGGAACTACATGATCTTTATT